TGTTGCCTCAAGATCAGTTGTAATCCTAGAAGGTGTCCAGCCACCACTGTGAGGCTGGCAACCCTACTCACAGGGTTGTTGTGAGGATAACATGGAAAAAAGGAGAAGGATGAGAGCTGCTTTGGATCCCCATTGTGGAGAACAGTGGGCTATAAATGAAGTAAATAAATAAAATAAATAGATGAATCCAGGAAGCTAAAAGCCTTTCTGGAAAGGAAAAAAGAAACCCTGGTTATAAGGGGGAAAGTGGCATACCATCTCTCCTTATATACAATTCTGTTCTGGTCATGGACTCCCCTGAACATTCCAACATTCTCCGAAATCAGTTGGCTGAATGATCTGTCATTCAGAGGGTCTCCATATCCACCGACTGCGTTGCCTGAGTCCCGCTTCCAACATTCTAAACAGTTTGCTGTTCCTCTTCCCCCCATAGCCAGTCAAAACACAGAGGTCATTTGCATATGTGGCCTGATTGGCCTTTCCCTCTAACATTCTAAACAGTCTGCTGTTGCTGTTGGGAGTCCTGAGGTAAAATACATATCCCAATCTCCCTGTGGGGCCTGGAGTTCTCCCAGAAACCACCGTGTTCCCCAGCCACAGCACATCATTCCCCTACAAAACATTTCCCAGCTATTACAACTGATGCCCAGATGACCAAGATCAGTTCTCCTGGAGACAATGGCTGCTTTGACCAGTGGACTCTATGGCATTATACCCTGCTGAAATCCCTCCCCACCCCAAACCCTGCCCTCCCCAGGCTTTACCCCTCAAATCTACAGGTATTTCCCAACCCAGAGAACCACTTTCCAGACCCTTGGAACCCAGAAAATATGGCACAGGAGGAGGTGGTTTTCTACCTTAGCTGCAACTGCATAGATCCAACTTAACATAAGCCAACCTCCAGGTGGCACCTGGAGATCTCCAGCTATCACAACTGATGTCCAGATGACCAAGATTAGTTCTCCTGGAGACAATGGCTGCTTTGGGCAGCAGACTCTATGGCACTATACCCTGCTGAGGTCCCTCCCCACCCCATACCTCTACCCCTCAAATCTACAGGTATTTCCCAACCCAGAGTTGGCAACCCTGTAACTGGCTTGGAACTGTTTTCCAGACTCTTGGAGTCCAGAAGACATGGCATAGGAGGAGGTGGTTTTCTACCTTAGCTGCCACTGCATAGCCCCAAATCAACATAAGTCAGGGGTGGAGGGACCTATACCTGTTACCATGAGGCTGTCCTCACATACTATCCACTTGGGGCAGCAAAATGACTTGAGACAGCCCTGCCTTATAGCTAAGCAGAAGGAAATAAAAATGGCTTGCCTCCCTCTATTTTCCCCTTCCCTCTGCCACCCCACCAGCCACAGCTGGGACACTCACCTGGAGCTTCCTTCTAGAGCTCATTGTATTTCTTCCCACAACGGACCTTACTCCTAGTGGACAGATAATTCAGTTTGACAATTACATACGTATCCATTGCACTATATGTAAGTATCCTGAGAAGCTGTGCATGGCTTTGGCACTCCACATGTGTTTGTGTGTATATACACACTAGCTGTAAAGCCCATTGAGGAGGAAGACAACGGGCCCTAGAAAGGTAGGGTGGGTGGGTGGAGGTGGAAAGCCGGCTGGCTTGAATGCGCCCCGATTAGTGTATGGCCGGGAGAATTGCCCTCAGAAGACGCTGGCTGCATGACTGGCTCCCTCCCCTCCCAGCCACCCAGCCAATGGCAGCCCAGGTTTGCTGAGGGAGCCAGTCATCGCAGCCAGCGTCTTCTGGGTGGCAATTTTTTCGTCCATACACTAACGGGGTGCATTTTAGAACTTTGGCACCCACTACTCGATTATAATAAGGGAGAGATGCTCACAGTGAAATGTCAGAATGATGATTTGCACATACTGTTGGTTCCTGCTGGTCTATTTACACGATTGCCATGTTTGAATAGTGTTGCCCAATCATTAGGCAAGGAAAGCACACTTGAAGGCACCATTAGAGTGTCACATATTGGCCTGGATCCAACCACATTAAGAAATGTCAAGTGTCCTTAAGTTGTGTTTTTTTTTTAAAGAAGGGGCAGTTTCAGAGGGTGTTGGTCAGCAGCAGAACAGTTAAATTCGAGTCCAGTAGCACCTTAGAGGCCAACAAGGTTTTCAGGGCATATGCTTTTGAGAGTCAAAGTTCCCTTCATCAGACATGAGTAGGAATAGAGATCTGAGGCCTTTTATCCCAGTCAGAAGGTAGGCAGGGTTTTGTAAGGAAGGAGCAGTGATTTTTGTTCATTTCACTCTCCCGTTGCAGATCCCTGTTATGTTGGTCCTGAAGGGACACAGATCCACCCAGAACAAAATGTCATGGGGCTAAGATGACAAAATTTGCCACCCCTCCCTTAAGAAACCATAGGGGCATTTACGTTTCCTTAAGTACATGGTTGGATCTGGGCCACTGGCAATTACTTAGTTCATTGTTCTATTTTTGCTGCTGTGTTGGTGCCATTTGGATTTTCTGCTTCAAGTGCCAGCATTTCTTGAAGGGGACAACAACTTTCTGTCCCTTAGTGGGGAAACACCCCCCCCCCCATAGGCATTTTCAGTGCTGATTACAATGCATGATGAAGCAGCAAAGCATCATTTCCTGATTTTTTTCCATTCCTCTGTGTCTTGGTTAGACAGGAACGAAGCCGCCAGGTAATGAAAAATGAGTAGTTTCATCTAAGCCTCACCCTGTGCAGACTCTATTGACTCAACCTGAATGGGGAAAGGCTCTTGAGCTTGCTTGTCCTTTGCTCTGTTTGGGGATGCTTGCAAAGGCACCTGATAAAAGGAGCGGTGGGTGCTGGCAGCCAAGCTGTGAAAGCAGTGATATTCTTGAGCAACACTGAAGGTTCATTGTCCCCAAGATCAGTTTAAATGGTAAAGCAAACCTAAGAGCCTGTGCACTGAAAGCAGACTCCCAGCCAATAGAGGTTTGCTGCTGGAAGAACTGGAGCAGAAATGAAAGATGGTAGCTTGGGATTCAGAGGGATTGTGTGATGTGGTTAATGACAGTCCATTACACTCTCTTGCATCCTTTTGCTTTGCTCAGCCTGTCAGATCCTGACTCTCAGCTAAAGGCCACAGTTTGAGGCCGATCTAGTGGTAGAGGCCGATCTAGTGGTAGAATCAGAGGCCGATCTACTAGTAGAAACAGTTTTCTATAGAGGTATGATAAGGGTAAGGAGCTGCGGTGGCTCAAGTGGTTAAGACACTGAACTGCAGGCTGTGGAAGGTCGGTAGTTCAGCAGTTCAAGACCTGAGTTGCCGCATGACGAACTGAGCTCCCGTCTCTAGTTCCAGCTCCTGCCAACCTAGCAGTTCGAAAGCAAGAAATTGCAAGTAGATAAATAGGTACCACTTTTTTGGGAAGGTAACAGCGTTCCGTGCGCCTCGGTGTTTAGTCATGCCGGCCACATGACCACAGAAACGTCTTCGGACAGCGCTGGCTCTTCGGCTTTGAAACGGAGATGAGCACCGCAACCCTAGAGTCGGACTCGACTGGCTTTCGAGCAAGGGAACCTTTACCTTTACCTTTATGATAAGGGTAGAACGGGAGGCTTTCTCACCAAACTTGAAGAAGCTTGCTTGTGCGCTTGCTGCTAGTGACTCATCAACATTTTGAAAACACAGGATGCTCTGAGCTGTACTGGCAGGGCTGTTTCTTAGTTTGCTTTTTGTTCATGAGGGCCAGCATGGCATAGTAAGTAGAGGGTTGCAGCTCAGCTGGAAATAAAGGACTCAGAATCTCTGTTCACCTACAGATCCCAGTTTACTGGGTGGCCTTGGCCAAAAGCAGAGGTCATTTCGGGGGGGATCGTGGGGGATCGCAGTTCCCCCGGGTGAGGTACGGGGGGCGGGGCACATGACGAAGCCCCGCTCCCTGCTTCCAGCCGCCCCGCTTCTGGCCCTCATTCAGCCAGGAGGAGGCAGGAGAAGAGGGAGGGTAAGTTGGCGGCGGCTGGGACCGTTGGGGGCGGGTGTGTGGCCTTATGACACACTTCCGGTGATGTCAGGGGGTGTGACATATGCTAGTGAGTTATGCTAATGAGTTCCCCTAGCTCTTTTTCTATGAAACGACCCCTGGCCAAAAGGATTGTTTTGGGGGTAAACTGGTTTAATTCCAAGCTTCCTGGTTGATGCTTGAGAATGGATACAACATGCATAGAAAGCACATCATTTATGAATGGCCAAAATAGTACACATGCTCATATAAAAATTGCAGCTGTTAAAAAAATACAGAAAAGTGTTCTGGGAAAAGTCACAATTTATGTCTGTATATGTCATTTGTAGACAACTTTTACTTTGAATCTTGTACCTATGAATTAGGATGATTAAACACATTATATTTGTTAGGTGTAGCACCTAAAATATCTTATGTGTGAAGTGTGAACATTGCAAACACAAGTATCAATTGCAAACCCTTGTCCTGAAGCTGTGACCTGGTAGCAAACTGCTACATAATGTGGCCTGGAGTTCTCCTGTCCAAAACATAACACATGGAGTATCCCTCCATTCTATGGACACATGAAGAGACCCTCAATTCTATGGAATTTTATAGATTTCAGGTGTGGCTGAAACTGTGGTGTTCACTTATACACCTGTGTTTTGAAGGGCTGATTCATGCAGGATGTTTACTTCAGATGCTTGGGCACTTGATTTTTTTGGACGGTCATAACATTCAGTTTAAATAGCACGACCAGTTTGCAAAAGCCACGAAAAAGTGGAGCTAAAAGGCAGCTATACAGAAGAAGTTGTCAGGTTAACTTTCAGCTCCCCGATGCTATTAACCTATCAAGAGTACTACAAATACCTCAATATTTTCCATACAGTTATGATCTTGATTTCCATCTTATTCATTCCCCCCGCACTGCCACCGCCACCAAACTATGTAATGGGTCTTCCACACCTTGAAGACATGTTTGCATTCGGTTGCTGTTTATGGTTTACTTATTTCTCTTTTGGTTCAGGTGATGTGGATGGTATATACCATGGGGATATTCGCTTTGGGACAGTAACGGATTCTGGAACAGCAACACTTAAGCCACGGCCGAGAGTCCGACCTTTGCTGACTTTCTTACCCCTTGTGAGTATTTGCGATATGATTTGGGGTTGGCATGAATTTAGTTTGCATAATGTGTCTGCTGTGAAAGGGAGGGAGATTTTTGCCAGTTGTCTCTTCCTGCTGCAGACTTCCATTTTGCTCCCTGAAGCCTTCAGGGTTGCAGTTCCAGTTTGGGAAATTTCTGGAGAGTATGCTGGTGAAGCCTGAGGAGCATGGAGTTTGGGGATGGGAGGGACCTCAACAAGGTACAAACCCATAAAGTCCACCAGTGTTCCCTCTAAGCTGAGTTAGTGTGAGCCAGCTCACAGTTTTTTAGCCTCCGGCTCACACATTTTTGTCTCAACTCAGGAAAGATGGCTCCGGAGCAAACTGATTTATGCAGGAGCCAAATGGCTCGCTCACAACTTTAATGCCAGTAGCTCACCAAGTAGAATTTTTTGCTCACAAGACTCCACAGCTTAGAGGGAACATTGGAGTCCACCCTCCAAAGCAGCCATTTTCTCCAAGAGAATTGATCTCTGTTGTAATCTCACAATATCTCCAGGCCCTGCATGGAAGTTGGCAACCCTGGCACTGTTCCTTCAGGTCACTGACCTGTAGGAGCACAATTCTGGAAGGCACCGAATGCTGCAGTGGGAGGGGGAAGGTTGGGTAGGTTGCCTCCATCGAGCAAGACTCGGCTTAAAATCTAAGCCACTTGGTTTGCTGTCTTTATTTCACACCAGAGCTGTGTTTATGTGTCATGTGTGTGGCACGGAAGCATGAATGTTGGAGAAAGCTGTATGCAGAGAACAGGGAATGAATCCAGCAGGCTACCATGTATGGAGAAATGGCTGTGATGAGAGCGATGTCAGAACTTTCCCTGCTGTTTTGCAGAAAGGGAAGAAGTAGTACAAAATGAAACATAAAATTGAGGGGAAATTTTCTGGAGGATTATGCTCCAAGTTTATTAAGCAAGCCAGTGTAGGCGAGGCATGGGGAATATCTTCAGCACAAATTACTCTGAAACTTCATTAACAGGATGGGATCTTTCCTGCAAATGCAATGGAAATTAATCTAGGTCAAGATGTTCCTAAATCTGTGGAGGTGATCACTGCTGGTTGTGTCAGAGCCTTGCAATCTTGCCTCAGCACTGCCTCAGATTAATCAAATGAATGACTCACAGAAGGGGCAGAAAGAAAAGGAAAAGCAGGAGGTGCGCAGGCATGTATGTTCATGTGCTGGAATGGTAAGACAGAAAACACTGTGGCTGAATCCAGACATCACAAGCAGACCTTGTTTTGTGCATGATGAGAACGAGCCAGGTTTATTCTTGAGCTCCTCCTCCATTTCCAAACAGGGCTGTCAACAGCCCGCAGTAGGGCTGCCAGCTCTGGGTTGGGAAATACCTGGAGATTTTTTTGGGGGGGTGGAGCCTAGGGAGGGAGGAGTTTGGGGAGGGGAAGGTCTTCAGTGGGGTATAAGGCTACAGAGTGCATTTTGGTGTAGAGAGCCAGTTTGGTGTAGTGGTTAAGTGTGGGGACTCTAATCTGGGAGAACCGGGTTTGATTCCCCACTCCTCCACTTGCACCTGCTGATGTGACCTTGGGTCAGTCACAAGCTCTGGCACGGCTGTCCTTGAAAAAGAGCAGTTTGTGTCAGAGTTCTCTCAGCCCCACCCACCTCACAGGGTGTCTGTTGTGGGGAGGGAAAGGGAGAGGAGTTTGTAAGCCGCTCTGAGACTCCAAGTGAAGGGGGGGTATAAATCCAATTTCCTCCTCCTCCTCCTCCACCTTTCAAAGTGGCCGTTTTCTCCAGGTCAATTGATCTCTGTTGCCTGGAGATCACATGAAATAGCAGGAGATCTCCAGCCACCACCTGGAGGTTGGCAACCCTAGGCTGGATAAAATGTCTTGCCCCTTTAAGGCTTAACGTGTGAAGTGGGCCGTGTTGATGCTTTTTATGGCCCAGAGGTAAATCACATTGCCTGGTAAACAGCATCCCATCAAGCCTATGTTAAAGGGGCAGGATATTCCCCCCCCCCCGAGGTTTTCGGCACCCCTACTTGCATGCAGAGCCTAAGTGCATATGTGATGTCTAAATTCAGCCATGATCTTGTCCAGGTCTGAAGGGATTTAGAAACCAATTTGTAGACCAAAACATACACACCAAAGGGCAGTTTGTTAACATGCACCAATTCAGAGGTCACAACAAATTACCGCTTCATTCATACCCTGAAGTCTTCAGTCTTGGCCTGACACATGAGGGGAGGAGGGAAGGGGGGCAACATGCAAGCCCCAGAAGTAACCTGGCTGGTTCTTGTTTATATGACATTTTATGTTGGTTTGTTCATGATGTCTGAATGCAGACATAACCTTATCTGCCATTTGAATAGTGATGATATCATTCTAGGGCTAGATGTACAGGATAATACCTAAGGGATAAGTGCAGCATTTTCAACAGAATATACTGTTTCCATGTACAGAATGGGGGAATTCTACAGATATACCAAAATTAAGGCTATGTATATGCTGTGACCCTGTACAAATGCAGGAACAAAGCATAGAGTCTGATATGAATTCAGCATCCTGTCTTTTTCCATAAGCAAAGGAATTACTTGACATTACGTAATTTATAAAAGCGTAACATTCTACTTCCCTCAGTGTTGAATGCTGTTTGTTAGACTGCCAACTAAACACAGACTTGGGTGCTTTCACACATGCTGAATACTGCACTTCCTGTGGTTTTCAATGCACTTTAGCAGTCATTTGCAAATGGATTTTGCCCTTTTACAAGTAGTCTTTGGCACTGCTCCGTTACGTTTGCTCCCTGGCCCTTAGAAGCTCAGTCAAAAGTTTGCTGTTTGTGCAATCAATTTGTTTTTACTAAGCAGAAATGATAGATAAGCTGCTCCCGGAAAACCCACAAGCTGGAACCAGTATGGTTAAATTCAGAAAGATATATTTAAGTTAAATGAAGAAGGACTGCTTTATGGAGCTAATACAATAGGTAACTTGGTTATTACAAGAGGCATACAGATATACACCATTTCCTAACAAACTCTGACGTTTTGGTATCTCTCTCAGGCTACACTGACAAAGGCATCCTCTTCTTCTGTACATATCTGGTCCTGGTCATTATACCTGGAGTTTATAACCCTAGATATGGTTGCTGAGTCATGGACCCACAGTCAGAGGCAGAGATAGAATATGGAGCTGCAGAGGTTCCTAATGTCCTGCTTCAGCAGTCTTTCCTCCCATCCTGCTTGCTGTAGCAAGGAACACAGACTGCAAAGGGTCTGTTGAAGAAGCACCACTTCTACATTCTCCCTTGCTCCTCCCAAATTCTCAGAATGACTGGCAGAATGTCTTGTAGCACTTTTAAGTCTGTGCACCTAAATGAAAGAACAACACACCTATCATGAGAAAGGCCCTGCAATTTGACTACGTTTTGCAGTTATAGACAAACAAGAGGCACATAATTTCTTGGACCAGTATATTCTGGTAGATTAGAGAAACTTCCAGGCTCCAAAAGGTGTCCTGGACTCAACAACATGACTTCACATCTGCAGTCTGAATCTTTTGTTCTTTGTGGTACTCGTCTCTGCATAGAGAGTTGTTCATATAAAGTGGTATGCAGCATCTCTTCTTACTACTGGTATGAGACTATGATACTCAGTGTTGAACTATAAAAAATGGTCTGTTGCATCAGGAATGTGCCTCTTTTTGTGGTAGGAATTCTATTTCTTTGGGTTTATTATCTGGTTACAGGAGGGAAGGCAGCATAGTATGGCTGAACCTCTTGGAAGCTAAGCAGGGTTAGTACTTGGATGGGAGACCACCAAGGAAGGCTATGCAAACCACCTCTGCCCCCCACCTGCCTTGAAAGTCCCTTGCTGAGGTCACCATAAGTTAGCTGTGACTTGGCAGGACTTTAGAAACACATTATAGGCCCCGGTCACACGGGCCGGATATCGCGGGGGGAGGCATGGCTAATTGCCCCAGCGCAGTTTGATCCGCGATTACGCGATCAGACGTGCCGGCGGCACACCACGGGTCCTTCCCACGGCGCCGGCGGGTGAACGAGGGACCAAAGGGGAATGCCGCGCACCGGCGCAATCACACCACGGGAGTCTGGAGGCAGCCTGTGGCAAACATTTACTAGTACTTTGCAGGTACTACTTTTTTAACGTGCATTTTTGGCGGTAAGCCACGGGTGCGCTCCACTTCCCAGATGTTGGGGTGTGATCGCGCTCAGATAATCCACCCACCATCCATGCCTCTTGCTGTGCTAAGCATAGAGTTTTCCCCTCAAATGGCTGTGGCCCCTCCCCCAGCGTGCCCGGCGTCATCACGTCACGTCTGGCTGACGTGCATGCCAGGGTGGGGTTTCCCCCAGGGCCCGATTGCGCGGTGGAAATCGGGCCTCCAAAGCGGGGGGAAATCCACCCCCCGGGGGGACTTGGCAGCCCTAAGTCAGGATGCTGTTGAATTCCTCATTGCTGCTGGTTTGACTTGAAAATTCCCATTTCAATTATTTATTTATTTATTTACATTATTTGTAGTCCGCCTTTCTCACAGGGACTCAAGGCAGATTACACACAGTGAGTCAGTACAATCAACAAAATGGGACATTCAAATAACCAATGTGTTAGGATTTTAGAAGTGTGGAACCACCAGAAAGAACTGAGGTATAGCATAAGTATTCACATGACACATTAAGTGGCACAGAAATTACAATAATTGGATCCTACTTACCATAAACTATGCACAACAGTATAGACCACAGTCCCTAACCATTTATCCGAGCAAGCAGGTAAAACCGTTTTGTACAGAGCAACCCTATTACTTGCACAGAAAAGCCCTCTTGAATAGTGAAGTGTTGTATAGTTTGTGGAAGGCCAAGAGTGGGAGCTTTCATGACCTTCTCAAGCAAACTGTCCCATAAGGTGGGATCCACAGCAGAAAAAGCACAGGTGTATGGACAGTTGTTGATTTTGCCCATTTGTAGGTTAGCACCTGCAGAAGCCCCTGCTGACTTGA